ACCGTGGCCAGGCTGGTGCGCGCCCACAGCAGCCTGGGCCCCAGCCGGCCTCGGAGCCCCCTGGCCTGTGACGACCACTCGCTGCTCTCGGCCAGGTCCTTCGGCCTCCTGGCCCCCATCCGCACCAAGGATGTCCGCAGCAGGTAGGTACTGTCCGCAGGCCTGGCGTACTTGGATAGATAACCACACCGTGTGCCGCTGCCTCCTGCGGGGCACCTTGGCTGGGCACAGGCTGGCATCTCACCAGGACGTTAGGCAGACGCAGACCTGCCTGGCCGAGGGACCCCGAGCTGACACACACTGGCCAGGGAGGGCACCTCTATCTCCCGACCGGTGCTGTCAAGAGTCCTGGTCCTCCCGTGCTCTGTGATGACCTGGCAGATCACAGCCTGTGCTCACCCATGAGCTCCCCTTGCAGGCCCGCTCTTGGGTTGGGATCTGCTCATGGCCTGAGAGGGGCACTTGGCCCTCAACCCTTCTGTTGCCCAGCAGGGGGTGTGTGCAGGGAGAGTTGGGAAGTGATCCTGCATCAGCCTCCCGGCCACCTGGACCCATGATCACAGATTTAGTGGCTCAAGCGGCTTGAACACGAGGGAACATGGCTCTCCTGGCTCTGGAGGCAGGGCTGGCTGCCCCCTCTGAGGGCCTAGGAAATCCTTTCCCCTCTCCGTCCAGCTGTGGCTGCTCACTTGTGTGTTGTCCCTGAAGCTTGGGCCATCCTGAGTCCCAGGTGACCTGGAGATCTAGCCAGTTCCATCTGCACGGTGGCCATGCCTTGGCCCCCTCAGCCCCCACAGTCTCTCAGGTCTCCTTAACTCCCTGCATCTGGGCACAGCGTGCTCCTCCCAGCACCTGTACACAGGTGTGCCAGAGTTTTTCCCTTCTTTTTTTTTTTTTTTTTTTAAGCAGTACTCAGGATTGATCCCTGGACTTTCCACTGAGGTATGGCTCTTTTTAGTTTTTATTTTGAAATATAATCTGACTTACCCAAGCTAGGCTTGAACTTGCAATCTTCCTGCCTCAGCCTCCCTAGTGCTGGGATTACAGGCAAATGTCACCACACCGAGTTTAATAGTCAGTGTCTGTTTTCAAGAAAAGTGTGTAAGATTTTCGTAGCAACTTGGGATTAACAGAGTGAGTTGGGGCTTTGAAAAACACGAGGGTGTTCACAAACTGATGTTGCTGATCTCTTTCTTGGGACCTGGGGGAGGGCGGTGACATAGTGAGCAGGACAGACACATAGGGCGGAGACCCGCTAGGGAAGTGGCATCGGCTAGGGCCCGGCAGGTGGGCAACTCATGGTCAGCCACATGCTGCTGGGTTAGCCCAACCCCAGAGAAACATTGCACCCTGGTGTCCCCAGCTGCCCTCTGACACCCACAGCACCATCTCCACACACCCCAGGCCTCACTGCGGTGTGTTCCCCACATGTGGGACCCGGGAGGACAAAATGACTAGGAAAAAGCAACCTCGAGAGACGAGATCACATCCACAGGGTTCAGGGACCCCTTGTGTCCCTGCAGCAAGAGGCAAGGCTCTGAGAAGTGGACCACTTGGACGGCTCAGGCCAGGTCCTGTGAGCTGGCTGCTCCGTCCTGCTGTCCTGGGCCTGGCACAGGTGGAGCCGGCACCCCTCAGGCCCAGCCCAGGTGCAAGAAGGAATCTGATCATGTGTTCCCCGTGCAGGGACAGACCACTGGGCCTCCCAGCACACGGGTGATTTGTGGTGGGGTGTGGGGGCGCAACAGGAGCCCTCATAGAATTTTTTATCAGGCAGGGTCTTGCTTTGTAGTTCAGGCTGACTTTAAACTCATTGTGTAGTCCAGCCTATCCTCAAAATCACAATGAGCCTCCTGCCTCAGCTTCTCAAGTGCTAGATCGCAGGCATGCACCACCACACCTGGCTCACCGTAGAATTAGACGCAGGCAGAGCAGATGCAGAGTGGACATCGTCTGGGTCCTAGTGGGAAGCAGCTTGTCCTTAGCCCTGGTGCGGGGCCAGGAAGAGAGGTGGGTGTGGTCCTGGAGGCATGAAGTCAGCCAGGTGGAGGGCTTAGCAGGCGGACCCCTGGCCGGGGCGGCGAGCCGGGAGTGGGTGCAGCAGTTGCGAAGTCTGGATATCAGAGTTTCTGGGCACAGGTGCACCTGTCATTCCACATAGGTTGCATCTCCTTAAGGCAGGTACCTGCGTGTGTCCTGGGGAGGTTCAGTAGAGCGTGCTGTTTGTTACGGACGTTGGAGCACCGCTGGGTGGGCTGATCATTCGTGTCGTTTTGTTTTCACTACTGGAAGTCGAACCTAAAACCTCTGCCACTGTGCTGTGCCATGGCCCTGCAACAGTGTCTAAGTTGCCCAGGCTGAGCTCAAACTTGCAGTTCTCCTGCCTCGGCTTCCTGAGGAGCTGGGGTGACAGGTGTGTCCTGGATATAGGCATATTCACCCCAGCCTTTTCCACTTTCTCCAGTCTGCCCCTCAGGCTCGGCCTGTGGGAAAATCGGAGAGCCAGGCCACCCCAGCCCTGCCCCCTGCTGAGGGCAGGCAAATGCCTCTCAGGCCCTCTGGCCTCCCAGGTGTCATCTGTAAAACAGCCCCTGGGACACCTTCACATTCCCTTCCTGGGAGCAATACTTGCCTTGAGCCTGTACAGCAGGTAGACCCTGGTACTGCTTCCCAGCTTGGGAGCCCCATCCCACAGGGCTGCAAGTGTCTGCTGTGTGCCAGTCTTGGGGGCTAAGCCTGAGCCACCCCCTGTAGCTCCGTCCCTGCCTGGCCTCATGCAGCTCTCCCTGCAGGAGCTACCTGGAGGGCAGCCTCCTGGCCAGCGGGGCCCTGCTGGGAGCGGATGAGCTGGCCCAGTACTTCCCTGACCGCAGCATGGCCCTCTTTGTGGCCACCTGGAACATGCAGGGCCAGAAGGTGAGAGTGGGCAAGGCGCCGTGTCCTCCAGCCCCTGCAGCCCTGCTGTGGGCTGTGAAGGGCACCTCCCAGGAGACCCAGCATCCCAGCGGCACCTCTCTGGCTCAAGGCTCCTTGAGGGGCCAGGGTTGGGAGTGGGAGGATGTGCTGGGTGGCCCTTGCTGAGAGACCAGGTGCCCATGAGCTGGGGCACAGCAGGGAGGGGCTGCAGACACTGCCTCGGCTGCAGACTTCAAGGTACAAAAAAAATGAAGCTGAGGTAGGGTGGCATGCGTGTGGCATGTCCAGGTCCCTGGGAGTCTGTGGAGAGATCTCCTTGTACAGCCTCAGTTTCCTCTCTGGAGGAGATGCTATGTGTCTGGCTCAGGGTGGCAGAGCAGGGACCCCAGCTCCTCCCAGCCTGCGGGGAGCCCGGGCCCAACAGACCATGTCTTTTGCTGCAGGAGCTGCCACCCAGCCTGGATGAGCTGTTGCTGCCTGCTGAGGCCGACTACACCCAGGACCTGTACGTCATCGGTGTGCAGGAGGGCTGCTCGGACAGGTAGGGCCAGCCAGGTGGGCGCCCCAGGCCAGGCCGCATGGGCCCGGCAGCTGCTTCTAGACAACTTACCACAGAGGGTGTGTGCTATGCTAAACGAGCAGTTATCAGGAGTGTAAGGGCAGCAAGAGCAGTGCTGGGTCCCCCGTGCCCCCCAAACTGGGGACTGTGCCCAGGCCTTGGCCCTGAGTTCCATCCCCAGCCCTGCTTTAGTCTCCTCATTCTGAGGAATCTCCTGCAGTAGCCCAGGCACGTGCTACCGTGCCTGGCCACTCTGGGCTGGCCCAGAAGGGCCTTGCTAGCCTGCGTGACCTGACAGTACCCTGTGTCATTTTGTAGTCTGGGCACTGTTGATTGGGTGCCCTGGAGAACGATGGTGGAGACCCTGTCACTGTGGCTCTTGTGAGGCTGAGACTTCCAGGCAGGCAGAGGTCTCTGCAGAGTGTTGGGGAAGCACTCTGGTGGGTTTTGGGGGGCTTGGGATTGTCGCCTCCCAGTAGCATGAGGACCTGGCCTGCTGCTCCCAGAGTTCTGACCGTGGCCTCCAGCTTATCCAGCGTCCCCACTGCAAGGCGAGGTCAAGTCATGGGGTCCCCAGCATCTCAGGAGCTCTGTGGGCTGCAGGGCTAGGGGGCCCTGCACCCCACTGCCCCTCATCCCCCACCACAGGCGGGAGTGGGAGACGCGGCTGCAGGAGACACTGGGCCCGCGCTACGTGCTGCTGTCCTCAGCGGCCCATGGCGTGCTGTACCTGTCCCTGTTCATCCGCAGGGACCTCATCTGGTTCTGCTCAGGTAGGTCCCGCAGCCCTAGGCGCCCTACCCAGGCGGCTTCTGCCCACGGGCACTGACCCCGCCCCGCCCCACAGAGGTGGAGTGTGCCACAGTGACCACGCGCATCGTGTCCCAGATCAAGACCAAGGGTGCCCTGGGCGCCGGCTTCACCTTCTTCGGCACCTCCTTCCTCTTCGTCACCTCCCACTTCACCTGTGAGTCACCAGCCCCTCCTCCCTGCCCTCTGCTCAGGAGTCCCAACCATGGGGACACAGACTCTGCCCCCTGGGACCTGCTCTCTCTGTAGTCCCTGCCATGCGGCCCCACTGCCTCCCAAGGCGGCTCCGTCGGGAGCCTTGCACCCCCAGCCTGCATCTGTCCCCACAGCTGGAGATGGGAAGGTGGCAGAGCGGCTGCTGGACTATAGCAGAACCGTCCAAGGCCTGGCCCTGCCCAGGAATGTGCCGGACACCAACCCCTACCGCTCCAGCGCAGGTGAGGTGGTCACCAGCCCGTGTCGGGGCCTGCCCTGGGCCACCGCCTGGCCGTGATTTAGGGGAGGGCATCACGGGCGCGGGCTGCCGGCCCACACACTGTCCTGTGTGCCCAGCGGATGTCACCACCCGCTTTGATGAGGTGTTCTGGTTTGGAGACTTTAACTTCCGCCTGGGTGGCGGGCGTGCCGCAGTGGAGGCAGCACTGAGGCAGGAGCGGGAGGCGGCCGTGCAGGCGCTGCTGCAGCAGGACCAGCTCACGCGAGAGATGAGGAGGGGTGAGTGACAGGTGGGGCGGGGCGGGCGGGCGGACGTGGGGCTGAGCACTGTGCCCTCGCAGGGTCCGTCTTCAGGGGCTTCCAGGAGCCGGATGTCGTCTTCTTGCCCTCCTACAAGTTTGACCTCGGGAAGGACACTTACGACAGCACCTCCAAGCAGAGGACACCCTCGTACACGGTAGGCCCGCCCTCGGTATGCATTGCTCCTGCTGCCCGATGCACCCAGGGCTGCCGTGAGCTGTGCCCGATGCCAGTGTGACACGGGCAGCCTCCTGCACAGGCCCATGGCCCAGGGCACTTGCGCTCTAGCTGGCCCGGCCATCCTCGGTGAGAGTGGTTCCCTCCCTCTGTGAGGTCTTGAGGCCCAGCAGGTGGCCCCAGAAGCACCCCAAGAGCCGGGCACTTGCCCCAGCCACGGCTAGATTCACACCCGGCCCTACTGTCCCTGTCAGCACCAGGAGTCAATGAGCGGGAGGTGCTAGCCTGGCCCTCTGTGCCCCATCTGGCTTCCACTCAGGCCATCGTGGTGTTGGGGCCCTGGAGGTAGAGCTGTGGGGTCAGGTGGTGGCCCCTGTGGTGCTGAAGCCCAGGTGCCAATGGCCCGCCGCACAGCGGCAAGGTTGCCTTCACCAGTGCCCCTGCTTCACGTCTCTCCCGAAGGACCGGGTGTTGTACAGAAGCCGCCACAAGGGGGACATCTGTCCAGTGACGTACTCTTCCTGCCCTGGGATCAAGACGTCTGACCACCGCCCTGTGTACGGCTTGTTCCGGGTGCGACTGAGGCCCGGGCGAGACAAGTGAGTCCCTGCTCCTCTGTCCCCTCTTGGAGCCTGGCTGGGCTCGGGCCAGGGGCAGTGGTGCCAGGTCCTAAGCTGGTGACAGATGGGGCTGCCCGCAGCGGTCTTGCAATGTCTCAACGGAGGGCTGCCGTGAGTCCACGCCTGTGCCCCTTGGGTGGCATGCGGAGGCTCGTCCTGTGACAGGGCCCAGGGTTCAGGCGCAGCTGGAGGGACAAGGCAGGGGCCCCGGGCAGCACACTGACCTCCCTGGGCCCTGTCCCTGCGTGTGACCTTTGGGGGCTGAGGGACATGGGCACCTCGTCACAGCATCATACCTCTCCACAGCATTCCGCTGGCTGCTGGCAAGTTTGACCGAGAGCTGTACCTGATAGGAATTAAAAGAAGGATTTCAAAAGAAATCCAGAGACAGCAAGCATTAAAGAACCAGAGCTCCAGCGCAGTCTGCACTGTGTCTTGAAGTCACTGAAGAGGACCCATCATCACAACTCAGGACACCCAACCAGAAGTCACTGGAAGAGATGGGACGTGCTCTGTGGCTACGGGGCCACCCTAGTTCTCGACAGGAAACCCAGGACAGCAGCGAGACCTGGCACCCCATACCCACTGGTGTCCCATGACCCCTCCCCCACGGGACAGCGTCTTCAGGGCCCCACCCCACACAGGGCAGATGTCTAAGCCACTGTGCCCACTGGTGAGGGCTGTGGGCTCCCCTCAATGTCCTGTGCGCACATCCTGAGCCCTGGGCCTGTGTGCCCGTCCCCACTGTCCCTCTCCTGCGCCCATGCCCCACTGGCATCTGCAGAAGTCAGGACACAGCCGGTGTCCTCCATGCCCTCAGCCCTGGCCTGCCCAGAGGCTGCTGAGGCTGAGGCAGCATCACAGCCAAAGCCAGACCCTTCCCGGTGGGATGGCCACCCTCTGCCAGCTCCTGTGACAGTCATGGGGTCCTGGCCCCGTCCCCCAGCTCAGACAGGACCACTCCCTTTACCACAGGCCACGTCTCGTTCAGAGACCTCACACCGAGGCCACGCCAGCTGAGACGCAGGCCGGCAGCTCCTTACCTTCCAGGGCCCGGACTGCTCTCATCTCCAGAAAAAGAGTGCGGACGTGAACATAGAGAAGCCTAGGGACGTCCGCTCCAGCCTGTTAAATTATTTATTTTTCCATATTTATATTTTAAAATAAATGCATCTATTGAATCTTAAATGCTTTCTGGCCTGAGTGCTAGAAGTCTGTATGCTTCCCTGTTCTCAGCACGGGTGGCTTCGGAAACCGGGGTCAGCTGCTGACAAGGGTCTTGGCGGTGTATCCTGTGCACAGCCAGAGACGATGCTACCAGGACAGAAAGGAGGGTCCCTCAGATTCAGAGGAGATCCAAGGAATCCGCGGTAGAACTTGATTTGCATCTACTTCCCAAACACAGCTGTCCACTGTAGAGCAAGCAGTGCCCAGCTGTCTCCTAACCCCAGCACACTATGCTCCGTGCTGTGTAACCACAAGTGCATGTGTCACTACTTTCACACGAACTAAAAACATGTCAGGAAGATTCTCAAAATGAGGGCTGGCCGGGGATCTAGCTCAGTGGCACTGTGCTTTCCTCTCAAGTGCAAGGTCCTGAGTTCAATCCCTGGTACCAAAAAACCAAGAACAAAACATGATTCTCAAAATGAGTAGGGTGTCATGGGTTCTACGTCTCCTCTGATCCACACCATAGACTACTGTGACCTTGGAGAATGTGTCCTAGTTTGGTCAGGGACCTGCAGCTGATGAGGTTGCGGGGGAAGCACAGCGCTGCCCTCAATGCCAGCTGTGATGTTTCAGGTGAACACATTTCACTTGGAAAGCTACTTGAGTGCAAATGAATCGGCCAGTGTTCATACACAAGCGTGAGATTGGGGTCTGGGGCTGCGGTTCAGTGGTGGAGCACTAGCCTAGCATGCTTGAGGCCTTGGGTTCAACGCGCTGCTACTGCAAAAAACAAAAACAAACAGTGGACTAGGACCAGACACAAGAATGGCTTCTAAAAACTTTGCTCTTAGGCAGGAGGACTGCAAGTTTAAGGCCATCCTGGACCAAATAGTGAGGTTTTCGTGTTTACTGGTGTTGCTATAGAGTGTTGTCTGGCATCAGGGCCAACAGTGACCTTGGGCAACAGGAGGCAAGACCAGGGCGAAAGTGTGCCGAGGAGGGGATGGGGTGCATCCTGGGATCCTGGCAGGGCAGGCGGAGGCTGGGGGAGACAGGATACTGTCTCCAGAATGCCAGGCACCAGGTTGACTGCCCCACAGTGGACACAGCCTGTGCCTCCTCAGAAGCTGGGGTGCTGTCCCTGCCAACCGGCTCCTTGACCCTCTTGGCTTGCATCCCCACAGGCAGCATATCCCAAGCTCTGTGCTGCAGGCACTCTCCCGGTGTTGGCACGGCAGCCTCAGGGGCCAGGGCTGCGCTGTGAGCCAGGGCTCACCCCTCCCTTCCTAAGGCTCTGATCCCAGGGGACTGCTGTCGCCGCAGGCGCAGGCAGATGCTCCCACTGGGCAAAGTCTTGAGATGTGGTTTCCAGGTGTTCCACAGGCAAGACCGAGACGAACAATGGGCTTACCATCCCCAGCCCTGTTTGCACGGAGGGGCTGGGCTTCTTGGCCATCAAGACAGACAATCCTGAGCCTACTCTCCAAAAAACTGAGCCACACAAATCTCACGCAACCCACGATGGCCACCTGTCACCAAGCAACCCTTAGAAGCCCTGCTGGACTGGCAGGAAGATGGCCTAGTGGTGAACAGCAGGGAAACAGCCTCTCGAAGATCTGGTACCCAGACATGGAATATAGCAATGTGATGAAGAGAAAGAGGACGGAATTGGGTTCCTGGGACACATCAAGGATCTGAAGCCCATGGGGAGAGGGAAGAGAGACTTCAGTGGAGGAGGCAGCAAGCAGCGTTTTCTTCCTGAGCCCTGACTCACTGCACAGGAGGGCGGCCTGAACCCGCAGACCCACAGGGATGACTGGTAACCCGAAGCCCCCAGAGAGACACGTCAGAGGAATGGACCAGTGGATGCCCCAGACTGCAATGGCTGGGAGCAGCTGTGGGCTGGCTCCATCAGCATGAGGCAGAACTGCGTGCAAGTCCGCAGGCAGCGAAGGCGCCAAGTCAAAGTCACGGGAGACACATGGCATGCTGCAGGCTGAACACAGGCTCCAGCCTCACAGCCAGAGACCAGCCCAAACTTCAGAACGACAGTGCAGGCTTGCTGGGATCATCACCACGGTCAGGAATCTGTGGCTGGCTTGTTGGGAGTGATCGACATGGATCTGGACGCTGCCCATTTTCTTTACCTTGAAGTGGACCTTTTCCTTGCTTGCCCTTGTTTTCATATAAATGTGCACATTGTTTCTAGTTTTTGGTATTTTTCTCTTTCCCTCCTGTCACGTTTCCCAAAGTTTGCGTAATCTTCCTTTGTTCTGCAGCCTTGCTTCTAATCTCTTCCTCTTCTATTTCTCTGCATTTCCCCTTTGAATGTTTTTTTCCTGTAACTTTCTCCCTTGAAAATAAAATCGCCATACTGAGGGTATTCTTACTGTATACAATTTTTGGCTTTGTTTAGGTTTTGTTATATAACCATAAATCTAGTTCATATGGTTAAAGTTGGCAAATGAATAGCCACCAGCTGGACATTTCCTAGGCTGTGTCTGATGATATTTATTGCTGACTGCACTACTTTAGCCAAGGTGACAGAACTGTTCTCATTGATTCTTCCTGGTGCGCCAAGACCGAGACTGCCTAAGGGTCACAGACAATGCTACAGGTCAGTGCCAAAGGACCAGGGGCTCGGCCAAATAGGCAGCACCTTCTCATTCCCAACAGATCGAAGAGGTAGGATCTTGCAAAAGACTGAAGCCCCAAAAGCCAGCTACACCTGGAAGATACCTCTGAGAAGCAGTCATTTCCTAAGGGTTCTAAATACTGGCAATAGGGCCGCGGATGTAGCTCAATGGCACCGTGCCTGCCTCACAAATGCAAGGTCCCAAATTCAATCCCTGGTACAAAAAAAAAGAAAGAAAAAGAATCCATGAAACAGATTTCAGCAGCTATCCAGATTAAAAATTCCACTGAAAGTAATGCAGCAGAATAAGCCAATGTGAGGATAGGCTATCAGATATAGAAGACAGGATTGCTGTTTGCAACCATGAAAAGAATGATCTCTTAAAAACAGCAAGGACTACAAAAAAAAAAAAAAAAAAAAAAAACTCAATCCATCAGCTGCTAGATGATGCAAAGAAGAATACAGTGGACCCTCGAGTTACAACCACCCTGACATATGAGCAACTTGGGTTATGACCGGAATTTTAACTTATGATCAAAGTCTTGAGTTACAACCTGAATGGCAGCCACTTGTGCTTCCAGATGGGTCTCAGATACAGATTTAACCCTTGAGCTCTGGAAAGATCATTACACCATCCTTTCCTCATTCAGGAGGCTGATGCAGGAGGATCGCTGTGAGTTCAAGACCAGCCTGAGCTACATAGTGAGTTCCAGGTCAGTCTCAACTATGTAGTGAGACCCTGTCTCAAACCCCTTTGTGAGGTTAACTGAGAAGTCCCAGGCCAAAGTTTCTTTAAGGACATGGAGATCTGCCTGATATATAGAAGAGAGATTTTATTTATTTATTTTTTGTTTTCATTTTTTTTTTCAGACAGAGTCTCACTATGTAGTTGAGACTGACCTGGAACTCACTATGTAGCCCAGGCTGATCTTGAACTCACAGCGATCCTCCTGCCTCAGCCTCCTGAGTGCAGGGATTACAGGTGTGAGCCACCAGGGCCAGCTAGAAGAGAGATTTTAAAAGCTGTGTAGAGGAGCCTGCGCCTTCAGTTACCAATGTGAGTTACAACCAGCACTGTAACATAAGATTGATTGGAGTCAATGAAAAAGCAGAAGATAGCACAAATGACATAGAAAAAAACCTGTTCACAGACATAATGGCAGAGAACTTCTCAAGCAGGGAAAAAATAATGTGATATACAGATGAGGCATATAGAACTCCAATTACCCATGATTTAAAAAAAATTACACCAAGAATCAAGATTCCAGAAGTTCAATGCAAGAACACAATGTTTGTTTGTTTGTTTGTTTGTTTTGGTATTGGGGAATCAAACTCCGGTCCTTGTGCTTGTGAAGCAGGCAGTGGAACCACTGAGCATGGTGGCTCACGCCTGTAATCCCAGCACTCAGGAGGCTGAGGCAGGAGGTTGCTGTGAGTTCGAGACCAGCCTAGGCTACATAGTGATTTCCCAGGTCAGTCTCAACTACATCGTGAGACCCTGTCTCAAAAAAACAAACAAACAAACAAACAGAAACCCCCCCCAAAAAAAAATAATGGCAAAAGAAACCACTAGAACTTCATAAACACATGGAGATTAAATAACTCCATTCAGCGGTTCTGCTGCTTGCCTTGCAAGTGAAAGGTCCTGAGTTCGATCCACAGTACCCAAAAAATTAAATAAGTAAATAAATAACTCTGTCCTGAATAACGAATGGGTCACAGATGAAATTAAAGCCATTAGACAGCGTCTATAATTAAACGACAATGTCAGTACAGCATACTGGAATTTATGGGCTGAAATGAAAGCAGTCCTATCCGGGAAATTTACAGCAGTAAATTTTCCTATCAGAAAAACAGCTGGGGATTTAGCTCAGTGGCACTGCGCCTGCCTCCCAAGCTCAAGGTCCTGAGTTCGATCCCCAGTACCAAGAAAATAAATAAATAAATAAAACAGAGCAAGCTCAAATAAACAACCTAACACTGAACCTCAAACTTTTAGAAAAAGAAGAGTAAGTCAAGCCTAAAAGCTTATACAAGGAAGGAAATTATAAAGATCAGACCAAAAATTAATGCAATGGAGATTCAGAAAACAATACAAAGAATCAATGAATCAAAGAGTTGGGTCTTTCAAAGATGAAATAAAACAGCCAACCTTATCAAAAAAGACTCAAATCCATGAAATTAGGAATGAAAAGGGTGAAATCACAACAGACTTCTGCAGAAATCCCAAAGATCATCAAAAGCCTACTTTGAGAACCGAATAGGATGGAAAACAGAAGAAATGCACAGGTTCCTAGATACATATGAGTTACCAAAGCTGAATCAAGAACATACAAAAATTATAAATAAACCAATATTGGCCAATGAAATTAAAGATGTAATTAACCTACCAACAAAGAAAAAGCCCAGGCCCTGATAGATTCATTGTTAAAT